TATTTCTGCCTGTGAATATTCCTTCATCTAGTTTAGACTCTGTGGAATTACTGATGAGCAGAGACATTAAGCTTTCCTAATTTTGCTGCGTCACATAATCTGAAAATTTCAGTTGAATTTAAATTGTAGGCTTGTAATGCTCTATAGGACATCAAATGCTTGTAGTCATTTGTATCCATTTGTATGTGAGTGATCTAGTAAAGCACACAGAACTGATATTCTTAATCATTTGGCATGAATGAATTTCTTTTGGTATCCACTCTCTTAGTGTAGGCATGTCAAAGTTCTATCAGAAGAATAAAGATGATGGATTTTTTTCTTAAATAGAAAGATGCATAAGTAATTTTGTAGAACAGCTCATAGTTTGTTTTGATGGCCCTGAAATGGAAGCAGAAAGCTGACACTTCTCCCCTTTCCTGCACCAAATTTTAAAGCAATTGGAATTGAAAACTGACACTGTTGAGACCTTTCTTGGGTTTTTGCTGTCATTACCATGATTGGTATGCATTCTTGATGCTTCATCTATTGTATGTACCAGCTGAGAACATCTGTCTTACTCATCAAGGTTTTCTTTTTGCTTTGCTTCAGTATGTACCTCGGAGAGATATCTCCTAATCGAGTCCTGTTTTGCAGATGAATGTCTTTTATTGGTTTGTTCCTTTCTCTTATCCCTTCTAAATTTCAGTTTAAAGACAGCTTGAAATCTACCATCTTGTCACACCAGTCACAGGATTAAATATAATTTCAATATCAAGAGCAAGTTTTTCTTGAAAATGATGAGGAAAGTGGCATCCTAAGTTAAAGTTACACCCCTTTGTGTGATTTTCTTGTTAGTCTTCTTTTTTCTATTCCCCTCTTGTACATTCTTAATTTTATCTGTTCAAGGCTGAAGAGTTGTTAGCCACATGCTTTTAAAACAGCCATTGATTTACAGTGCCTATTTAGTCATGGTTGAGCTTCTTGGATTTTTTTGTTTTCTTAAATAAGCACAACCATGTTGTCCTGGCCAGTTAGGATGATAATGTGTATGGCTGAAAAATTCAGGCTATACTCATCAGACTTAACTGCACATATAAAATATTAGTGAGTCTGAAGGCAAAATTTCACTCATCATTTTTTTTGACAATGCTGTAGACTTTTGTATATGCACATATATATGTAATCGTACACAAATATGCACCTTATGTTATGTTTTTTTGTTCCTACAGAAGCATTTATGCAGCTATATAGTGAATTGGAGTGGGGAACTGATCCAGCTGAAAAGTGATCTTTCAGGTTTTTTTGCTGAATAACTTTTTCACCTGGTTGCAAGGATGCAATATATATGCATTTTAACTTGTTCACTCGTATTCTGCTGTAGTTCCTACACCCTTTCATAAAGAGCAGACGTTTTGGTAACTGGTCTTTATCTTCAAACTTAGTTAACCTTGTAGCAGCTTGTGCTTTCTTGAATTCATCTCTCCCGACACTTTTTTATTTTTGCAAGTATTTCTCCAGTCTTTTGAGACCTTCTTGAAGGCTAATGCTGTCCCATTGTAGTCAGTTCCTTCCATTTATGGTCCCCAAGCATTTAGCAGGAAGTACAGGGAACTTTTAGTGCTGCTACTGAATGTTTTGCTATGTTTTGTTTGTTCCTCGCACTTCAATTAGAGTATTATTAGACAACAGATGTGGTTTTCAGCTGTATGGTTTAAGACTAAACGTAAATGTACTAGTTCTTCTCAGGTGAGTTTTCTCTACTAAGATAATGTAATATAGGGATGGAAGGTGATTTGCAAGAAGTAACTTTATCAAGGGTCGCTAATTATACTGAAATTATAGGTACTGGCTCTGGAACTAAAAGATAGAATTAAATCCCTGTGCTAGAAGTCATTGCAATCCATTTTTTACTCATATTTTTAGACACTGAAATATTAGCAATTACATTAAAATATTAACCATAGAAACACTTTCAAGAACTTTCTTGGCTGAAATATGCACTATTTGTTATTCAGTGGTGATTTTTTTCTTCATACAAACCTTCAATGCTCCCACTGACAGAATTGGGATTTGGCTCTGCTGGAATTTTTTCTGCCCATTGGTGAAGCCTTTCTTACAGAGCAACATCCACAAGGTGGTGCCTTTTCATCACCAAAAGGGAGAGGAACTTCTCTTTACTAAGTTGTGTTGGCTTTCGGCCTGTTGCTTGGCAGAAATGGGAAATTCGGATACTGAGGTGAGTGTATTCTTTTCTCACTGAATATAAAGTGAACACTGTGATTCTGGTTTTTTCCCAGCCTTTGTGGTTGCAAGCTGACTGTGATGCTTGGAAGTTGAGAACTAGAAAAGAAAGGCAGTGGCTTAGAAGTCAAAAGTGAGCCATGTTGGCTGAATCATGAAAAGATTTGCCCTGAAATACCAAAGTTGTGCAGGCCAGGGAGGGTGCTGCCAGAGCATCTGGGGAAATCATGCCTATAATGACAACAGTTTTTCTGTCAGGCTCAGGTCTCTTGTAATTACGCAGGAGCCTGAAAATGGAAGAATGTGCAGTAGTTTAGGCAAGTGCTGTGGGGGGTGGGTGAAGGGGAACTGGCATAGCATTGGCAATTCTCTTGTAGTTACATCATAGATTATCTTTGTAAGGTGAATTCAGTTGAAGATGAAGCAGCTGGAAAGTGTTCTGAAATATTGCCCTCTATTGCCGAATAAGACCTGAGAACAGAAGTATTATAGAGTTTTTCACATGACCTATGTGTAATTCCCAGCTGTGAACCCTCTGGCAAGGAGCATGAAATCCAAAACACAGCTGATAGAAAAAGGGCTGTTGTCAGCTCAGACTGAACACTTGAGTATTCATAGCATGGTGCTTTTACAGACGCTGGAGTACATCAGAATAATTTGGGTTTGAGATCTGTGCAGGGTCCTCCTCCTCCTGGCTGTGTGTGCTTTCAGTCACAGTGGTAATCAGTGCTGAAGGAGAACCAGGTGTGCACCATATTGTACCAGTTTTCCTCCAGAATAGAGAGCCTTCACCCCTCCATCTCCCTTATACCTCTCTGCCAAATTTCCTGCTGTGAATTTGTCTTATGTTTGTCTTTATGTACCTTGTGACCCCTTCAGAATATTTGTGGTATTTTAAACCCTGAATTGTGTGCATGACACAGTGTTTAGTTTGGAAGCAAAGTTTAATCACACATACTGATTGTGGTGTTTATTTTGGAACCAATAAGTAGGAGGCAACCTTTTATATTTTATTAGTTTGGATGAATTCTCCTTGTTACTTGATAACCATGTATAAGTATGAACTAAAAAGAAGTTGATATTCAAAGGAATGCTGAAACACAGATGGCACTTGAATGCAGCCTCTCATCCACTCTGGGGCTGGATTCTGTTGGACACCTAAACTCTTTGGGTATTTATGGTTCACTGTGGTGAAAGTGATAGAGTGGCTATTTTGTTTTTAAAGGATTGTATATCGTTCCTCTTTATGTTCCAGTGAAGCTGGAGAGGGAGCTCTTCTGGAAAGAGCAACACTCACATTAGAGGAAAGTCTTTTTATATTTGTTTCTTCCATCTGCTACAAGTGAAGGGAGCTGTGTTTGCAGAGGGAGGTTACAGCTCTGTAGTCCTGGCCTTATTTTGTTTGCTTCCCACATGTCTGCATTTACAGCAGAGTAAGCAAGTGTAAGAGAGGGGGTTTGCTACTCCTCACATCCTGCCATATACCCCTAACATCCCAGCAAAACTAGTCCCATGATCTGCAGTTAATTATGCATGAGGTGGTAATTCTAGCCCCAAATCTTATCTTACTCTGAATGCTGAGGGACCTGGGGAGAAAAAGAGGGTGAGTTTCCATAAACCATCTTTTAATAGAATGTGATGGAAAAGAATGTAACAGAGAACTGAAAGGAATCCACCAGCAGACGTTATTGCAGCATTGCAAGGGCACCTGTCTTGAGTATTTTGACTGCTGAAGCAGTCAATTTTGATGCAAAGTTCTGTAGATCATGAAATAGCTGATATTGTATGAGACAGTTAAAGCTGTGTGCTATGTGAATAACTCCAAGCGTATTTATTCCTGTAATATTCTACTTCTGTTTTTCTTCTCTAAGAAGCTTTCCTTCAAGGGAAATGTTGGAATTCTCCCCTAATAAAACAGTACACTTAAAAGATTGATAATCCAGGGATTTTTGAAATCTCATGTGTCTTCTGTTCCAAGCCCCTGTGTAGTGAAATGCAGTATTATTTTCATGACAGTTATCTGGGGACTCTTGGCAAATGCTCTTTCCCTGGTGTTTGCTGTAAATTCCCCCCCCCCATATCTGATTTCCTTGATCTTGTGAAATAAACCAGAAAGTTTTAAGAGCATAATCAAGAAGAGAGGAAAACCAGGCTAATTATTTGTGGGTTTTGATTGTTTGTTCTGTTTCTTTTAATTTAATTGAAAATATGAAGATCTGCTTTAGATCATTATACTAACTTTAATTCCATACCTCAAAGGTGACTGTCTAGTCTTTTGAGCATAGTATGTTTGTTAATCTGCATGGAGGATACTTGAAGACATGATATTGAATTTGGCATAAAATTGATGAGTTATTTCTGTATGATGTTTTTGGCAGTATCTTCCATTCCACTTGAGTGCAGACACAGTAGATGACACTCGAGTCATTAATTTTATGATATAGGAAAGAAAGCCAAACTCAGTTCTGGAGTTAGCTGCCTGTAGCAATAGGCACATTTTATTGAAAGAGCAACTCCAGAGATTTGCTTTCGGTTAAATGCTCCTAGGAAAAGAAAGGAAAACACGCACAAATTCTTTTTCAGTACAAGCAGGCCATCTCCAGGTCTTTGAGTTTGTTGAAGTTTTGTAAAGACAACTAGACAGCATGTGATCAGTCTGAATCATAAATATATAGTGCCAGATTCCCTTCGAATGTGTTGCCACTGTTTGTAATCTGTTGTTTACAGCATATTCTGCATATTTACAGCATAACAGAAGTTCTTTATTTATTTTCTTCTAGTCTTGCTTACTCCATCAGAACATTTGTGATGCAACCTCTGATAGCAGGTGAAAGATAAAAATCTGCCAACAAAGTGGATGTCTCACAATATCGTCTTATTATCAGAACAATTTGAATACCACATTCCTTACTGTAGCTAAGTTTGATAACCGAGGTTGGTAGTTTTGCTAATCAAAATGTTAACATTTGATTTAGGCTATTCCAAAGCAGTTGCCTTATGTTGGGGTTGATGCTGTACCCTTAGACAGTGTTGTTTAGTTATTTGTTTATTCTCAACATTTTCAATACTAGCATCAGGTAATGGACTGACAGTCCTCAGAACTGGAGCAACAATAGAAACTTCTCCAATAATATCTTGTCAGTGTGATTCAGCAGTAAGGTTTATAACTGAGTTAAGAAAGTTTAGTCCGAGTTAGTTCACAATTCATTCTTTCTCTGATGCTCTTATAATATTCATTTTAACAAAGATGCTGTTGGACTTGAACCTAGAAATGAGCTTCATTTATGTTGTCTTCCTATGTTTTTTTATCACTCTGCCTGTTCTAGGTTTTAGGGTTCATAAAACTGTTTGAATGCCAAAAAAGGATGTTTCTTTACTAAGAGGACAGAGTTCTAACTTTATCTTTCATTTTGTTTGAACCATGCTTGTAAAGTAGATAGAGACATTTATGTATGCTTTACTAATGTTTATGTGATTATCGCTACACTTCAAAAAAAATGCTACGTGTTAGGCAGGTGTTACCTGGTGCTGAGTTTGAACAGAGTGGCTTGCAGGGAGCTGACCTCTTGGTTTATTTTGCTTTTAGTATTTGCCAGTGAGTTTCCTCTCTCAGTGCTGCTCTTTCTGACTGGTTATATGGATGTGTACTGAACTGAAATACAAAAGTGTAGGGAATTTTATTTGACGGTATAAATTATTATAGCTACTTACTAGCATGGTCTCTTTATCTCATGATTAGGACAAGTCCTCTATGTTGTAGCTGCATCTGTCCTTAATTCAGGATGCTCTATTCAGGTTAGAGAGTAATTAAATCCTTTTAGCAGCTAGTCATATTTTTTTCCTTCCAAGAAGCCAGCTTTTTCCTCTTCGACTGAGTCTCCCCAGCAGGAGGTGCCTTTTTGCTTTGCCAGTTGGAGAAAGCCCACATCCACTTACAAAGACCATACTGGAACTCACAGGCATTTCATTTTAATTCCAGGCAACCATCCCTTTGCTGCTGCCTTTGGAACAGCTCAGCTGTGGAAGAAGTGAGCTAATGTAAAGTACTTAGTGAAGCCCTGGGGTTTACAGTTGGAGTAATTATGGAGAGGAATTGCACACCCCATATTTGATTTTTGTTTTAATTAGTCTTCCTTTGATCTATAACCTCAATTTAAATTTTAAGATTTGAATCAACGACCTGCCACAATATATTGCTTAATTCGTCTCCTTCGCAGCCCGTAGACAGATACAGAATATTGTTTATGCTTTCTCTTTTTCATTTTGTTGGGGGAAAGTTTTGGCTGTCACTCCTACTTCCCGCTTTCTGCTGGGACTCTTTCCATCTCTCGCATGTTCTCTTTTCCTCTTTCTCCCCTCTCCTCTCCCAGTCTACTTTCTTTATCCTCAAACATGTTCAACTTCCATGTTCATTTTAGGATATAGTTGAGAATCGTTGTGACTTTTAGAAATCTGCTTCAGGCATCTTCATAGATTGTCTCTTTCACTATGGATCAGTCCCATTTCTTCCATGTGATTCGTTATTGGAAGAGCTGTCTTTGTTGCTGTTGCCAGTTGCTTCCTGCCTTGCTGGATGAATCAACTACTTTTAGTTCTTATATGAAAAATGCAGTGTGGTGTTTATTTTTTTTTGGGTTTTGTTTGTTTTGTTTTTCTTTGTTTTTGGGGTTTTTGTTTGTTTTTGTTTTCATTTCTACCTCAGCATCTCAAGTGCCCTTTCCTATGTTAATATATTCTATGTCTCAGTTTATCATCATATTGCTTTTGTGATACAGCACAAGAGAATTTCCACATTAATTTTTCACATTGTATCTGCAATTTGGATGTTGAAGCATGCTAGAAGTCTGCTGTGATTGTAGTACTGATGAATATTCTTTGTTTTTCTAACAAGTTTGGTTGTTGTGCAGGACCTCTGATGGAAAGAAACTACCAGCTTTAGAAAGAGAATGGTAATTTAAATCAGAGGCATCAGGCCAACTGTTGTTTCTTGAAGAAAAGTAATGAAAACATTGAATCAGCATAAAACAAATAAGACTTCAGTTTCTGAAGTCCTATCCAAAGAAGTTTTCCTGCCAAAAAGCTGCTGGGCAAATATGGTAAATGGTATAGGAGCCTGGTCTATCTGCTTTGGAAAAATAAAACTTTATATTGACATTACCAAGATTTGAACTTTTGCTTCTAGGAATTGGATATTTTAGAATTCATCGAAGCTATGTTACTATTAAACTTTTGTTGTCTCTGAGTGAACATGTGCCCTTTTATATTTTATAAATAAGCAGAAAATGTTTGGAGCATCTGATAGAGTTTGGGGCACAGAAATTCTAATGGATACATGCTGTACTTGTGATCTCTATTTG